ACAAAGAAGTTCCTTCTCCCCAACGTTCTTTTACCTTTTCGAACTCTCGCCCCTGCGCCTCTAGTCGGGAGCGTAGGAAAGCGCACAAACCCAGAGGAACCACAAGCAACCAAGAGACCACAGGCTGGGGTGGTGGAGAGTGGACTCTGGTCTGGTGGGGAGCAGAAGCGATTCGCTGCATGCAGGTCTGGCTTGCGTTCCAAGGGGTTCCAGCGCCCCGCCCGCAACTGGTGTATTGATAGATGGAAACCTCTCGCCTGATCCTCCTCCTCCGTCTTAGTCGGGCACTGGGTGCGCCAGTGTCTGGTCCATCCCTGCGCTTTCGTCCGCCGACTCCACCACATAATCGCGAAGTGCTGACGAACTGACGTCAAAGGCCCTCCTCCACCTCTCCCTCCTCCACCTCTCCGCTGTGCTCCAAAAACCCAACGCAGTGAAATCCGCACACCGTGGACCATCGGAGGTCTGGATCCGTCCCCGGCCCCAGGACGCGCTGCAGAGGAGGCTTTTCTGGCCCATGGGAGCACGCTGCTGGAGGAAGCACGACGAGCTCATCTTCAGGTGGGGCGCCACGCGCTGGACGGACTCATCCTCCAGCAAAGGTGCGACCACGACGACGCCGTGCTGGCCAAGCACCCCGACGTCGCCGCGGGCCCTGTGGGTCAGTAGCTCTGTCTGTCGCCCGGGCCAGAAGTTGCGCCCGAGCCGAGCCAGGTTTTGGCCGGACCGGGGGCCGGGCGGCCGGGCGAGGGCCCCGGGAGGCTGAAGATTTTGGGTTGACCCAAGAGGGGGTTCAGCTGAAAGGGGGTGGTGCAATAGGTTTGAAACAATTGTATTGCGCATGTCTTGCTTCGGAGAATTGTATTGCACTGTAGTGCCACTGATTGTATGGCACGCGAAAGCCCAGCGATACATTTGTGCACCCGTTTGTATTGCACGCCCCAAATCCATTGCAACCCGAAAATCTATTGCACCAAATCTAGTGCACCACTCCCTTGTCGCTAGAACCCCTTTTGGGTCAACCAGAAGATTTGCCAACGCCTCCCGCCGCGACTTGGCCATGCAACGAGCTAAAGCAGGTCGGGGGCCCGCGCGCTTCCTCGGCCCCCACTCGCCTCCCCATTGGCTTTGGACGTCGGCAAGGGGTGCGGCAGACAGGGGTGTGGTGCCAGTCGTGGAAATGGTGATCTGATTGACGATAGCTAACATCGCCATATTCAACAGTGGCATCACACCTCTTCACACCACACCCCTTTCCTACCTCCAGACTGGCGTGCAGCACCGCCGAGGCGCCGCCACATGGCCGATTCCAGGACCCCTGAACTCAAGCATATTTGACGTCGCAGCGCGGCAAAGGCTCTCCGCACGCGCGCTCGGGTGACGGCGCTGCGAATTGCCGGCAGCAAGAGGGTAAAGGAGAGGGGAGAAGCGGCCGCGGGACCCCTGAGCTCAAAGATAGCGCCATCTCATCGGGGGCGCAACTTGTACTTTCGCTGGCGTCTGCCGGCCATCCGCCGGTTTCGTTTTACTTCCGCCAACTTCCGCCGCCCTTCCACCGCCTTCCGCCGAGCAAGTGATAACAATTCCTTGGATCCTTGAAGGCGGGGCCGCCCATCTGGAACGCCTCACCTCGCTGCAGTTCCCTCCCGAAGCCCGGCCGCAAAACTGGTTGGCACCCGAGAGTCTGGCCCCCCTTCCCACTGTCAGGCTGCCACCACGCATTTTTTTCTTTACGTCAGCGGCGAGGCAACGGGCTGCTCCAGCGGGCGGATGATCCAGGGCGACCGCGATACGCAAATTGGCCGGCGTGCAAGAGGGGCAAAAAAGGAACGAAGCCAAGTAAGAAACCCAGACCCCCGACGTCGTGATGTTTTCGCAACGTTGACCCCCAATGGTCTGGACCCCCTCCCCGGGACCAGTTTGTCATCCTGAGTCGTTTTTTGAGGCTGGGGGATTCTCAAGTGGCGGCGTGCCGCATCCCATTTCTCAAAAATCACTGTCGCCTCGGCGCCGCGCCCATTTTTTCAAAAATAGCATTCTCGCCATGACGCCGCGCATATGTTTTGGTTCAAAGTTGTTTTTCAGGGGGGATGGGTGATGGCGTGTTGTTTGCGTACTTCTCATGTCGGCGCGGTATTAACGCTCTGACCTTAGGACACCCATTGGCATTGCATTGGCGTGGTTTGGCATCGGACTTGTGCTGCACTGTGTCGGCAGTGCGCTGGCCTTGCGCTTGCATTGCGCGCGCGGCTTCCGTTGAGACCTCTACAGAAAAGAACAAAAACGATGCAATCCACCATATGCAGGTTTCCTAATGCCCCTCCCGCAAGACCAAGTCAAATGGAATCCTGAACCAGACGGATTCCTATGTTCAGTCCCTTCCCCCACGCACACACAAAAATATTCCGAACCAAGTCCTCCACAGAAGTATTCCAATCTAAAGCATCCACATAAGTGTTCCTAGTGACATACGGGGGAACGGATTTATGTCGTCCTCATCGAATCGCATTGACTCGGGGATGTCATGCAACGACCACGTGCTGGCATTGCACTGGCATTGTGCTGGCAATGCCTTGGCACAGACTTGCATCGAATTGGCATACATAGCAGCGACCTGTTGACTCCTCCACGAATAGTTCCTACTGAAATCCTCCATTGCAGGAATCCTACTTCAACCACACACAGAGATATCATTATTGAAATATCGAACGCAACATATTTGATTGGTGTCCTTTGGTATTGCAGTGGCCGTGCGCTGACAAAGCGCGGGCATAGCACAAGCATTGCCTTGGAATTGATTTGGCATTGCATCACTGCTGGGGGCCTTCATATAAGGATTCCCGTTGAATTCTTCAGAAAGCTCCTACTGACATCCTCCATAGCAGGATTCCTAGCTCAGTCCTCCACAGAAGGATTACACTTGCAAGTTTCTTGGTAACAAGCAGGTTCGTTGGTGCCCCTGGCCATTGCATTGGCCTTGCGCTGACAGAGCTATGGCATAGCACAAGCATTGCCTTGGAACTGATTCGGCAACGTATCGCTGCTGAGGCCCTCCTTGCTAGTTCAATCATCCACATCAGGGTTTCTACTGGAATATAGAGGTCAAACGATTCATTGGTGCCCTGTGGCATTGCATTGGCATTGCGCCGACAGCGCGCTGGCACAGCACAAGCATTGCCTTGGAATTGGCTTGGCACTGCATTCCTCCCGAAGCCCATCATCCAGGGATTCCTGTTCAACTCCTGCACAGAGGGGTCCAACTGAACTCCTCCATGACAGGATTTCTGGGCCAGTTCTCCACATATGGATTAGACTTGCAATCTTTCCAACAAGTTGATTGGTTCCCCTGGACATTGCATTGGCTCTGCGCTGACTGAGCGCTGGCACACCACAGACATAGCCTGGGAACCGACTTGGCATTGCATTTCTACTGAAACCTTTATACAAGGATTCCTGTGGATTTCCTCTACAGCAAGGCTCTTACTGAAACCCTCGATAGCAGTATCCTTTGTTCAATCATGCACGTTAGGGTTTCTAGTGACACATTGAAAACCATACATTGGTGCTCATTGGCGTTGCCGTGACCTTGCACTGGCAAAACGCTGGCACAGCACAAGCATTGCTTTGGAATTGCGGTGGCACGCATTCCCATTGGGACCCTGCATAAAAGGAGCCTCATTCCACTCCTCCACAGAAGGTTCTGACTGAAACCCCAAAAGCAGGATTCGGATTCCTAGCTCAATCCTCCACATCAAGATGTCGATTGAAAGATGGAACAGCGATTCACAGGTGCCCCTTGGCATTGCGTGGCCTTGCGCTGGCAAAACGCTGGCATAGTACATGCATTGCCGTGGACGCGAATTGAATTGCATTCCTCGTGAAGCCCTTCATAGATGGATTCTTACAAAATTCCTCCTCGGATGGCTCCAGCTGAAATCCCCCATAGCAGGAGTCCTATTAAATCATCCACAGCAGGATTTCTATTGGAATATAACATGAAAAAAAAGGTTCATTGATTTCGCGTTGGATAGCGTTGAGTGGGGATTGACATTGCGCTAGCCAAGTGCTGGCGTTGCACTGGCATTGCGCTGGCGACGCATTGGCACGGACATGGCGTAGGGGGAGTGGGGGGGGGGTCAAAGGGGTGGGGGTATTTGGGGAGCGCCTCCGGGGGGGGGGAGCAAAACAAACAAACCAAAACAAAAACGGCAAGGGGGGGGTCTGGCAGAATAATTTTGTTTTTGTGTTGCTCCCCTCCCCCCCTCAGGCGGCGCCGCGGGCGGTAGGGGGGAGCGCTCTGGCCTCCCGCCCTTCCTCTCTCTTTCCTTCCCTCTCCCCTCACCCCTACCGCTCGGCTCCCGCGCCTTGCTCTCTCTCTCTCTCTCTGGCTCTCTCCCTCTCTCTCTCTCTCTCTCTCTCTCCGAACGTCCCTCCCTCCCTCCCTCTCTCCCGCTCTCTCTCGATCTGTCTCGCCTTCCTTCTCACCTCCGCCCGCGCTGCAGCGCGCACCTCGGAAGTGAATCGTGCCGCGCGTCGGTCCCCCAGACCGCCACTTGAGGTCCCGGGGGCCCGACGAGGGCCCCCAGGGGCACCTCCCGCCCTGACTTTTTCACAACGCGAGAAAGTCTGGGAACGACGCCCCCTCTTGGCCGCAAGAGCGCCTGGGTGCACGACGGGGCGCCAAGGAGCAGCGGTCCGTGAGCCGCTTCGAGGTCCAAAAGCTGCTCGCCCCTGCCTTCTCGGCGTGCCGGCTGCGGCCCCTCCCGCCACCCTTCCCTCACGTTCTCCACTGAAGGGGGCCCAGGGGCACCCAGACAAGTGGACACAAGCCCAAAGCCCCCCGCATGTTCCATGTTTTCTGGGTGTCCGTCTCACCCTCCACTTCCCATATGTTCTGTATTTTTCCTAGGCATCGAGAATTGTTTGTGTCTGTGTGTTTTTTTCCATCCTGATCCATCCTTTCCCACTGCCATTCCCATCTCGTGCGTGGCCCCTGCGACCTGCAGCAGAAACACGTATGCCAGCGGGGCAAACTCGACGTCGCCTGCCTCCTCTGCAAAGTTACTCAACACTCGCCTTGAAGCGGCGGGAGGGGGGGGGGGGATGGCTCTGATGGCGCGGCAGCGAGGACGAGGAGGACCCTGAGGAGGGAGGAAAGGCGGTGGAGAGCGACGAGCGTCGGGAGGGTGCGCAGGAGCAGGGGGAGGGGCGAGGAGTGACGGCGAGGGCAGACTTCTAGGAGCCCTTGGGCCCCCAGCGGCGGAGCCGAGCAGCAGGAGGAGAGGAGAGGAAGAGGAACGAGACGCGCAGCTGGAGCCTGCGCTCGGCACGACGTGCGGAGGCGGGAGACGAGCAGAGAGAGCGCGCCCAGACGGCGGCCGCGTGCCCACCCTCGGCGCTGGCACCCCCGGGGATCTCGGACCAGTGGCCGTGTCGCTCGCCCCTCGGCACGCCAGCAACGAGAGCTGCGCCGAGGCTCCCCGCAGGGGCAGGACGGCGAGGAGCGGCGAGGCAGGGAGGGCCGGGAGGACGGCGGACGAGGAAGGCAGCGGCACCAGCGGAGCGAGACGCCCGCCCCGCGCCGTCCTGACGCCCTCCACGGCAAGCACGGTGGTCTCGTCCCACTGCTTCTCCGGGGTGTCGCGGGAGTGGTGCACGAGGAGGCCTGGCCCCAGCCCAGCCGCCAGAACGGAAGAGGAGGGGGGAAGGGGGGAAGGCGAGGAAGAGGAGGAGGAGGAGGAGGAGGAGGCGGAGGCGGAGGAGGAGGAGGAGGAGGAGGAGGAGGAGGAGGAGGAGGAGGAGGAGGAGGAGGAGGCAGGAGGAGGAGGAGAGGAGCAGGAGGAGAGGAAGGAGGAGGACGGAAGAGAAGGACGATGAGAAGGAGGAGGAAAAGGAGAGGAACGGGAGCGGGGGGGGGAATGAGAAGCGATGCCCCCCCCCCCCCGACAGGCAGACTGGAGGAGCGGGGAAGAGGTGCGAGGCGGGGAGTAATATCAAGAACAACCGCCCAGGGAATCCATATTCGGGGGACCCCAGCCAGCGCGGTGGATCCAGAGGTGTTCGGCAACCCCCCAGGGCCCGAGCATGACGATGTACCCCGCCTGCCGAGGTCCTCGACAATCGGTCCCCCAGGCGTTTCCCTTTGGCGATGGTGATGGATAAGCCCCCCGCCTCGGCAGAGGTTGACGACCAACATCGTATCGATGCCCCTCCTCACGTCACGCCGCAACTCCACGAAGGGCCAGGGGACATGGATCAACATCTGGCTCCTGGAAGCCATGTTCGCGAGCCATGCCTTACCCCTTGGCGTCCAAAGCTGGAAACAGCAGCAGGAGCATGGGTAGAACGCGGGTCGCAGAGGCGGGGACAAGCGGGGCGACGGGGGTGGAGGAGTTGTTTTTGGAATTAAGCGTCGTTGGATGCAAGTCGTCCAACCCGCAGTCAGAAAATGCCCAGCAGCGCCGCCTTGAATCCCGGGCCAGATCGACTCCCGGTCCCCGCTGGAATTCCTGGGCCAATCTCGCGGGCAATTCGACCTCGAGGCGCCCCCCCGAGCACCCGAGCGTGAGACGCTCGCCCGAGCGTGAAGCACGCGTCCGAGCGAAGTGTTTTAGCGGCTTGGCACCAAGCCGCGGTCGGAGGCAGCCGAGGGTCACTACGGGGCGTACTTGGGCACAGTCGGGAGCGGGAAAAGCGTGGAAGATGCGAGGAATCCGCGGGCGGCGGAGTACGCTCGGAGCATGAAGTTCTTGCGCGCGTGTGCCAGAGCACAGACCTGCTAGGCAGTAAGAGGGCGTCGACGGCGGCCATGCGCGTGGGCAGGAGAAGCTGACCCCAGGAAGCCTCAAACAGAGCGTGACGCACGCGGCCGAGCCAGACGAGATGCAGCGGGGGCGAGGGGGTTGGAGCGGTGTGCAGGCTGTTGTGCGAAACTGGGCTCTTTGCCTCCCTCCCCCTCCTGCTACTGCGCGCGGCGAGGCAGTCGGGCGCAATTCCTAGGCTGTTCACACCGCGCTGCAGACTCTTTGCGATGACGACGACGACGTCGACGACGACGACGACGACGATGGTGACGACGACGACACCGAGACGCACAAGACTCCCTGCCAGCGGCTAGAAAGCTGCCTCTCGGATGGCAGCGTCCCCGCCTCTTTGGCCGCAGGACATAGTCGGTAGAGAGAGAAAAAGAAAAGAGAGAGAGAGAGAGGAAGAGGAGGAGGAGGAGGAGGAGAAGGAAGAGGAGGAGGAGGATGATAAGGAGGAGGAGGAGGAGAAGGAGGATCAGAAGGAGGAGGAGGAGGAAGACAACTGCTGCGGCGGCGGAGCCAAGGGCCCGTGGTCGGGCGCAGCCCCGGTGCTGTGCACACCGCGCTGCCGACTCACCGCGCCGCGTGCCCCCCCGCATCGCGAGGCTGCGGCGCACACCCTCTCAAGGTTCGCGGGGACCCCCACGCCGCCAATCGCTGCTAGAAAAGACGCAGCGGGATATTCTTGGACAGCTCGAGCCTGCAGGCTGAGGTCGTCGACGAACAACTTGAGATGGAGCGTTGGTTGAAGACGGGCGATCGAGTCCGTGACGGACAAGATGGCCAGCTTCAAACAGCGCGTACCTCCCGTCTTGCCCGCCACTACAGCCGAGAAGGTAGTGGTGGCATGGACCGAAACCAATCCTCGAAAGGAAACTAAGCGCTCGCTGGTATAAATGGAGATGAGCAGCTTGAGTTACTGTAGAGGGAAGCCATGCCTGGGGGCTTCCTCCCACACAAAATACGTGCTGCAACGTTCGAAAGCCTTATGGAGGTCCAGGAGTGCCCGACGTCTGGCCAGGGGGGGTCCGTTCGCCCACCAGCATATGATGCCGCATCGCGGCCTCCGAACCCCCTTCGGGCGCCGCGAAGTCGCAATCGCGGCGAAACGATCGATCCCAATCGTAAAAAAAAACGAAGCGCGGGCTCGCTCGACGAGGCGGACAGAGGTAGTGAGGAGTCGCATGGGCCCCGTGCCCCCCGAGGGCTTCGAAAGCAGAAAGTACAGCGCGTAACGCAGCTGGGAAGGCCAGCGCGACGCGCGGGAAACGAAAGCCACAAACGCGGCCAACAACTCCAAACCTCCGTCACTCACCAGGGCCCACCATCGAGGGTGCCAGCTGTCCACCCCCGCCCCCGTGCGTTCGGGAAAGGCTCAGCAAATCGATCGGATTACTTCGGGGGTGGGGTGGGCCAAGGACGCGGGGAATTCCGCGTCCTCCCACGGCCTAGGCAGCTCACCTCTGCTCTCGGCGCCGCGAGGCTGCCAGAGGTCGATCCAGTCGAGCGCCGCGACGCCCGCTGCGATCTGGGGGTCGGTCATGTCCAGGTTGGCGTGGCCACGGGCGCCGGCCGACGGGGCTGCACTGGGCTTCCACTTGGACGTGCGGTGGATGAAGCCCGCGCCTCCTGTAGAACCCTCTCGTAGTCGCTCACGCCAGGCCTTGGCTCTCTGCGCCTGCAGGCCGCGCTCTATCGTCTGGGCCTGGTCTGTCGCGCGCCGCTGCAGGTCCATGGCCTGCGAGGCGTCCGATAGGAGAGCGTCGCCGTCCCAGGTCAGCGCCGCGAGGCGCAGGGGCTCCCCGTGGACCGCCTGCGCCTCGGTCCCCAGGGCACCGCGACATCGGGTGGCGCCCTGGGTGAGGCGCCTGTGCAAGCGGCGCCAGCGGCTGGCCAGCGGCCCCCAGCCCTGCCGTCGAGCAGCGTCGGCCGTGAGGACAAGGCCCCCTACTCTGGAGGCCACCCAGCGCCAAGCCCTCGATCTCGCAGCGCCTCGAGGTCTCGCGCGCGCCTCAGGGCCTGCCAGCGGGGCGCGTGCCCATCGCGAGGCCCCCCCGCGGCCGCAGTAGTCGCCCTCGCCGCGCATGTCGAATAGGCCCTGGAGGTCGTTCTCCGCCGCCGCGGCAAAGCGGCGCCACAGGTCATCCAACTCTTTGGCCGTGTACTCCGTCGTGGGGCCTTGTGAAGGCCAATTCGGCGGCGCCTGGCGGCAGCCCGCTGGTAGCCTGGTCGGAAACGCCCTCGGCTTGGCCAGCCGCCATCCTGTCGACGCCCATACTGGCTTCACCGTGGTGAGGGTGACTGGGCTGTGTGGGTACACCGCGGCATCGATCACCTGGGCCTGGCCGAAGGCGTGGGCGATGCGCGCGCCCACCGCGAAAAAGTCAACGGCCCGACCTCCTCCGCGGCCCTGGCAGGTGCAGTCCGAGGGAGCGAAGATGACGCCACCCACATCGTCGCACCATCCACCCGCTCGCAGCGAGGCTGGGGCGTTGTTGAAATCAGCCTGAAAGACACATGGGATGTCGTAGGACCTGACCAGCTCCCCGATGGCGTCCAGGAGGGAGAGGCCCCTGATGGCCCAGCCCTCCGAGTCCCCAAAGTAGGCCGTGATCATCATGAGCCCCCCACGGAAAAAGCCGGGGGCCCAGGCCGCCGCCAGCCTGCCTGGGGAGCCTGGAGGGGAGAAGTCGTAGGTGTCGACGCCGCCCAGGTAGGTGAGCCCCAATCATCTGGGCGCAACGAAGCCCACTCCTGCCACGCGGCCGCCACCAGGGCCTGGAACCGCTGGCGCGAGGCCGACCGCCACGTGGCGGGCGAAACAGGCCGCACTGACTTCTCCGACGTTGCCCTTGGTGAGCTTGTGCTCCTGCGCGAACATGATCGCGTTGGCGCCGAGAGGGTGCGCATCTATGTGGTCGACCAGGGTGGCCCAAGTGTTGACATTGAGCCCTCGCAGATTCATGCCAGGCTTGCAGCGCGCACCGTTACCGCGGGCACGGCCAGCGGAACTCCCAGCACTGCTGGGCATGGGGTCCTCGGTGCTCTCACTGCGGCCGCGGTGCTCGTAGTCGTGGTCGACCACCTCCATGTCGTCATGGGCCTGGCGAAGCCCTCTGCCTTCATCGAAGGTCTGGGTCTCCTCGCTGATGAAGTCGCGGTGGCGGCCCCATTGCCGCAGCCACCCCCGAGGCTCTGTGCGGGCCAGGTTTGTCATCCAGGCCGCGTAGCGCTGCCTCTGTCGTCGGCGCCTGCGGAAGGCCTCGAGGCAGATGTCGATGGCCAGGTCGATTCTGGCTGCTGGGAGGGTGCTGCCCTGCCTCTCCGCCTGCTCTAAGCGGGTCCATGCTAGGGTGCTGCAGGAAGCGGGCGACGTATGGAACGCAGGCTCTCTTCCAAGCCAGCCCGTCCATCTCGTCATCGACCGTGCGTGGGTCCTCCATCCAGTATCCCGTATAGCTGCGCAAGCGGCGCTCCAGGGCCCACTTCCGTCGCAAGGCACGGCGCCTGTCTGGGTCTTGAGCCTTGGCCACGGGCTCCCGCTGCCAAGGTGGGCGCTGAGCCCGGGCCAGATGCCTGTGGCCCTCCTGGACGGAGGCCGCGGGGATCCCCGTCTCGGCGAAGGCGTCGCATGCGTAGCCTTGCACGAAGAACTGGACGCGTTTGGGGCTGCCCGCTCCTCGAAGCGCCTGGGCGACGGCGCCAATGCGGAAGCCGTTGGGCGCCTGCCTCGCCCACGCCGTAGACCCCGACGCGCTGGGCGGCGATGAACTCTGCGGACGTCGCTCCATGGTAGCGGGGTGAACCGTGGAGCCTGGCTCTGGCCTGTGAAGGCCGAGCCCTCAGCGCTGGTCTGGGG